AAGGCAGTTATCAAGGCCTTCTTATGGCTAACATGACAGATTCAGACAACAGAAATCTCAGCTTTCTGGTGAAAACTGAATACAGCGTTTTAGTTCAGATCTTATTAACACAGAAAATCCCAAGTGGAGACAAAGCAGCCTCTCTCCTCCTTCTGTGCATGTGTGACTGGGATTCTGAGCGTGTGCGTGCACGCACGCGCACGTAAATGGTGTGTGTGAGTGTCTGCCGGCGTCTGTTCTGTCTATATTACCCTTGTCTGTGCAACATCAGTGCTTCCACTTGCAAAATAGCATCTTTCTAAGTGTGTGAATACTTTTCTGTGAGGGAGACATAGCATTGTGGTGATCTCATAGGACTGAGGGCAGATACGGGATCTGAATAATACTGACTCCACTGTAGGGGCTTTGTCTAGCAGCAGGCTGAGTCAAGCCCTCTGTGCCATCCTGGACCTGAATAAATCAGAGCAAAAAATGAAAAATGAGAGCAAGGGGAAGGAAGTCTAGCAGGCAGACATCCCTTTGACCTTAGTCCATATTGAGAAATGCCCAGATGCATATGTTTACACCTGGTGAGTATTACTGTTGATCAGACTCTTTCTACCCATCTGTCCATTTTTGTCTCCTCCCTTTTTTTTTTTATTGCATTTTATTTTTCAGGGACACTGGGAAGATCGGCCCTGCCTCACAATGCACTGATAAAATACAGGGAAATCCCCTGGGCACTTTGCCATTCTGTTACTGTGGTAATGCATAAACAGGCATCATCAGCTGTTGAGATGCTTCTTCATCACACACAAGAGATTTGCCACAGTAGACTGAGGGGTAAAGGATTGTAGGAGTCAAAAGTGGAACTCTGCTACACCAGAAGAAATCTTATTTCAGGGCGTCAGTAGTACAACTTTAGTGTTGCCTCTTTCAACAGTGTAATTATTTCACTAAAATTATTTCAGTAACATAAACCTTTCTCCCATACCTGTCAGATACAATTATTCTTAGGGCCTGATAGCATGAGATTCTTGCTACAGAGATGCAAAAGCTGCTGAACAAACATCACCAATGTCAGGTAGGAAGAAAGAGCAGAGTTGCTTTACTAACCTGACCTCTAACTTAGGACCTTGACTGTCTCTTTGAGATAGCAGCTCTAGCTATCACCGTCTGAACATCAAAAGCTTCTGTGCTTAATGGCTGACCTTCAAAGAGCCAGTTAATGCTTAAGCAGGTGAGCGGGAGTGCACAAGCCCATACTTCTCCCACACTCTGACCATAAGTGCCCCGGCCACCATAGATACCTAATGAGTTTGAGTATTTTCTCTGTCTGGGGTGAGCTCGTTAGAGTGGTGTAATTAGTAGGAGCAAGAATGCAGGATGGAGCCAGAAATCTCTTAGAGACAGACTGCACGACACAAACAAACCAAATGTAAGTGATGTGTAGAAATATTTGCTTTGATTCGGGGAGAGGCTCAGGGAGATTTAAACAAAGATGTTAGATTGGAAATTGTGCCTAGATTGTGCCGTGAAACGCATGCTCTGCTGAATGCAATGCTGTTTATCGCTCTGTCAGTTTCGGGTCAGTGTGCCGGCCAGTTATTGCAAGTAAAAGTAAACATCTCAGACAGAATAATACTCTACTCGCATAGAAACTCAGCATATCTATGTCCTTAGAGAGTCCCCATCACTGTTATATTTATTGTCTTTGCTCATACACTTGTATCATGGAGTGTGGGATCGTTGCTGTATTTTATAATAACCTGAAGCAGCTTCCCGAGTCCAGTAAAAACAGTGGGGGTGGAGCATGTTTTTCTCTCTCTCCTTAGCCATATACCTTTGCAGTTCCTCCAAAACAAATAAACTTTTCCACATGTTCTTCTCACCTGCTGCTCAGCTCCAGTTTTGTAGTCTACATTTAGTATATATGTTCATTATCACTGCTTTGTCTGACATTACTACCTACACAATGAATGCATTAACAAAAAGGCCATGAGAACATAATTATCTCTCTCAGGGGTTCAGCCTGTAGCTGCTAAATGAGTTTTTGCAGTAATCGCGTATTCAAGGCTCTGTTTTATTGTTTCTTTGAAATGCAGCTGCAGATGCATTCTCTATTCTATCTGGTGAATGATCTAGATAGTGAAATGAGAATGGGGTCACCAGAGACGCTGCAGTCAAAGTGGGAATGGGTCAGCTGACAGGAAGAGGAAACAGAAGGCTGGAGGTGATAGGTGATGTCATCGGCAGAGAGAGGAAGTCCATCTCTATTGGGGGCCATATGAGAGAACTCCATAGAGATGCTCTGCCCATTATACTAATGATGATGAGGAAAAATGCTTTGTTTTGCTACTTTTTTAAATCTCCCTCTCAGGGTCTTCAGTAGGTAGTTTAGAAGTGCTGGCATAACCTTTAAATACCCACACTTTCTACTCTATATGCCAGACATGCTTCCAATGAATGGACTCTTATTCCCTAAGCCCTCAAAAACACAGCCTTCTATCGTAATGACATCTCTGTTTTCAGGCCCGGCAATATTGACCAATAATAAGATTTACTTAAACATTCATTAATTTTAAACTAATATATTTCTTTGGAGTGTATGTTGATAAAAACTATAAGCACAGCAATATAAAATATTGTCATTTTTTGTGTTTAAATGTTAAGTAAATATATCCAGCAAATCATTAGTATTCAGTTGATGAAGTGTCTGAAAGTCCAGTATTTATTTTCCCTGTGGCTTTTTGCCATCCATCAACTCCTCCAGCCTTAAAGTTTAAATGCTAACCAAAAAATAACCAGGACACCTAGGGAAAGCATAAGATAATGTGCCAAGAGACGAGCTGATGAAAATCAGGTGGGGCAGAGACGTATGTGAGGCTGGTGTAGGACATGAATGAGGACAGCGAGATAGTGGTGAGGTGTGCAGTCGGATTGACAGATGTGTTCAAGGAGGAGGTGGGATTGCCTCAAGAGTCAGCTATGAGTTCCTTCTTGTTTGTAGAGGTGATGGACAGATTGAGAGATGAGGTTAGACAGGAGTCTGCACACGACACTGTGACTGTGTAGAAGATAGCCTGGAGAGGTGGAAGCATGCTTTGGAGAGAAGAGGAATAAAAGTCAGCAGAAGCAAGACAGAATACATGTTTGTCAATGAGAGCAAAACAGGTGTAGCTGTGAAGGAGCAACGGAGCAGAGTTAGTGAAGGTGGAGGAGTTTAAATATCAGGGATCAACCGTCCAAACAAATGGACAGTGCACGAGCGAGGTGAAGAAGAGTGGAGATAAGTGTCAGGAGTGATGTGAAGGATAACAGCGAGAGTGAAATGGACAGGGTCACCAGGATTGCACTGACAAAATGACAGTAGGTGGAGCTGGAGAAGGAAGAATTGATTTTCATTGGGAGTCACCAGGATTTGACAAGATTAGAAGTTAATACACAAGTGGAACAGCTCAGGTTAAGCAGTTTGGAGACAAAGTTAGAGCAGCAAGGCCGAGAAGGTTTGAGCATGTGCAGAAGAGGGATAGTGGATATGTTGGACAGAGGATGCTGAAGAAGGAGCTGCCCAGGCAAGATGAAAAGTGGAAGACAAGAGAAAAAAACCCATGAAGGTAATCAAAGGGGACATTCAGAGGCTTGGTGTGAGAAAAGTGGATGCCAAGGACAGGGTTAGGTGGAAACCGATGATCTGCTGTAGCAGGAAGAAGCCAAAAGAAGAACCAAAGCTCCCCCAATGATATGCTGTTTGCTAATTCAAAACCAACACAACAGACTAAATTATGCTAAAATGCTCCACAAAACTTAAGGACACTGCACAGTTGGACGATTACTATGTTCTCCCATAATATAACATTGAATGTTGTTTGTGCAAGAGGCCCCAAGAAGATGTGTGAAAAAGTGCTTGTAAACTGTGCACAGGTGTGCCTGTGTGGTAAACCACACTAAATCATTTTGTTGCCTAAACTTAGCCAACCAGAGCGAGAAAATAAAAGTAACACTGTGGTAGCTCCTAGCAGCTACTGCTAAAGAGCATGAATGGGACACCCTCATTGGGGACAGTCGTTTCACCGAGTTTCATGTCTCCATCTCGTGCACTATAGCACCATCGCTTAGTTGAAGCTAGAGTAACCTTTATAACACCACCTAATGAGGTACTGTTATATTCCTTGTAGCAAGTTAACTTCAAAGCTCATGACATCAGATATGGATCACATTCAGTCTGGAAATAGCATACAACATTATGGCATGTTTAGCAGATTGTACGCAACAATGCTCAACAGGCCTAAAGCTATGCTCTCTCTTGTTTGATGGATATATCTGTTTCACAATCAGCAGTGATATGGACATGAATCCTATTGTATTAAAACTGTACCGTAGGTTGAACACCTGGAAATGCACCAACTTTTCCAATCAAACATAAATGAATAAGTACATTTCCATATCTGAATAAAGTCTTGGTGTATGCACTTTGTACTTCTTCTTGACGTTCTCAAGTTCAATAATGTCGCCACTCAGGGCATTAAGCAACAACTCATTTTTCCTGCCAGTGCTTTTAACATGGTCAGCTCAAGTTGCCATGGTGACTGTGCCAGCTTGGCCCCCTCATCGCTGCCTGCAGCTATATTTCCCAGTCTATTTGTGACTGCAAGCAAGCCATTTCATACACAGTCTTTCTGTGTGATGTCAAATATAGCAACTTTATGTACCGTGAAAGTAAAATGAACGTACAGCAACAGCATTTTTTTGAATATCTCTTCCTCCATCACAAATGACGCAGTAAAAAGTAGCAGAAAGACTGGCAGCAGCCATCAAGATGATTTGCGCTATGAACCGGATCTGTCCCTGTGTACCTGTGGTGTTCTCCAGAGATATCACTTTGCGAATGCCCAGACACGTTTCTACTGGCGAGAGGAAAGAAGAGCTGTCACTCTTGGGAAATGCCAGGAATTCGAAGGGTAGGGTGGGAGGGAATTTCATCATGATAGGGCACAGCCTGGTGAGAGAAGGCATTGTTGGCACACCTCCTAATTCAATTAAAAACTGGGCGAACATCTGGCTGTCTGGTTTACCTCATTCTTTGTTACACGGAGTGGTGTGATAAATCCTGTGGTGAACGGTGATCTCCTTTCTCATCTGTGCTTCTTAACATTATGAATCAGCTCTTTTTTTTTTCAAACATGCCTGACTCAGCTTTGATGACTGAGTTGGATGGAGGTATTTAGGTAACACTCACACGGCATGATGATAACACTCAAACGCCACTGTCTCTGTACTGAAAACCCTATCCTTTGACTCACTTAACATGAGATAAGATTATGCTTTTGCACACAAAAAATATGCTTTTCGTCTCCTTCAAAAACTTGCTGGGTCGTATTGTTCGGCCGAGGAAGAAAGACACCTACACAGTGCAGTGTGCTTTCATGTCAGATCGGGTTGAGAAATGGTTGTGTATGCAGCATCTCCAAAGACAATAAGGAAAGGGGCTCTTCCAAGGATAATCCATCAGTTTTCAGTAGATACAGATCTCTTGTGGAGTCACAGATGGTACCGTCTTTTTTTCTCTCGAACTGCTTTATCTGGCATGACTTACATCTTTATGGTTCTCCTTTGTTTTGCACTGTGGACTTGACCAGTAGTTTTCATTGTAATAAACACTAGGTTTTGTTTTATCATTAACTGTGACTATTTCTGCCCCGAAGGCTTTAGCTTTTCAAAAACCTGAGATTCATCGCACCCAGCTGTAATATGGTTCAAGGTGGTGTGAATTTTACAACTTGGTGTGCTTTCACATCCCTCCTCTAACATCCACAGTTCTGTATGGGGTCAGATATTTACTATTGAGGTCAAAGTTCAGATTTAGTCACTATCAGAACGCGTTTTTTTTTTAGGCCATATCAGGCAGTATGTGAGACTATTTTGGGAAAAGCTGGGAAGCACCATTTACGAGTGAGGAAGGGTCTGGCTTTTTTATCAATAGATTTTAGAAGGAGCTCATTAGTGCGGCGCTTTTCTTCACAAATACAATTCTGTGCAAAAGCATCGAGCCACTACTCATTTCTTTATATTTAACTTCCAAGAAGTCCGGTCCTTTTACCGGACCATTTTTAGAGGAGTAGTTTTTGTTTGTAACGCCACTTAACACTGACCTATGACTCATTTAAGCATAAAAAGACACCCAACTCAAGTGATGAACCAGGGTTGTGTTTACTTACAACAAGCAAATTAGCAATTTATTACTAGCAGCTAATTACAAACAGATGTAATTTGTTCCCATTCCTTTGGTTTAGCTGAAAACCTGTTGTATGTCAGCATGGTGTGCAGTGTGTCCTTAAAAAAATCTGAGAAAACTACACAGGTGTAGGACAAAATAGAAATGACAAGCTTTAAAACTATCTGCAACAGATTAACAGTATCTGATTAGCATTTTTGAGACATGAATCTGGCCCTTCAGTTGATCCATCTACTGTTTGCTTAAGCATCAGCAGAAAGGCCTCAGAATGGTGGCTGTTATAAAATCATTCTTAAGGAAGGACAACTTGGAGAAAAGCCTGAGCAAAAAATTCATCCGCTTGAATTTGAACACTCTTTGCTGTGGAACCAATGCTATGTTACTCTTTCAAAGAGAGGGAAGAAAGAAAATAAAGCGAGACATGGAAACAACTGTGTATAGAAGAACTGCACTGAAAATCAGAGGCAGAAGGTCTAATGGAGTCCATTCTTCCATTTTCTATCTGCTTATCCAATTCAGCTTATCCCGTTGCAGCTGAGCCTATCCCAGCTGTGCTAGGGCGAGAGGCAGGCTACACCCGGGACAGATCACCAGTTTATCACAGGGCTAACACAGAGAGACAGACAAACTTTCACACTCACATTCACACTATGGCCTGTGGTACCTGTGTTTTTGAGAAATGGCAGCACCTACATCCAATTATCCTAGCAAATATAAACAAATGAGGGTTATCTCAATAGTTTTGCACAGTACTCTATATTGTTATTATGAAGTTGTGCTTTTTATCAGCTACCAAAAGACAAAAAAACACACAAATCTTTGTATGAGTTAAATAAAAATTTACAACCTGTTAACTAGTCTCGATTAGCACAGATGGATCTTAAAACCATTCTCATCTAATTCTGAACAAAAAAGTGAATGAGCTCCCCAAATAGAATCACAATGGGGTGATGAGGGGTCACACTAGGATTCCAAACAACAGGTGATCTTATTACTTGCACGCTTATGCTGTAACCCCAGTCTTGTGACATCATAATGATACTTGTCCAGTCTTGTGCAAGAGGCTTCTTATAGTAAAAGCCTACACTTAGAAGAAGCTAGTGTGTCATATTGTGGTTGTGGTTGTGTATTGAACTGTGTATGCTTCAGGGCTGTTTGTGCCACGTTACTGCCAGTGTGATTGAAGGCAGCATGTTGCATCGTGTTTGGCTGCCTGATTCTGCCTCAAGGCAGCAAATCCTCCACGTGTGACACTGAAAAGGTCTCAACTTGCCCTAATGACTACTCCACAGAATTTCCTAAATCCTGCAACTTTTACTTGACATGTTAAAATACCCCTATAAACTGGGGATTTCCACAGGCAGCTAAACTGGAACCTGTTTAGTTTGTAGCCACTAGTTAAAAGTTAATAATGTAAAGAGAGAGGGAAAGAATGCAAAAGAATAAAGAATGTGAGTTAGCTATTAGTGTGTGTGTGTTTACACAGCAAGCCTTTCCCAGGTGCTATACGATCCCTAGGATTACAGTGGAAGAAGGGGGATCAAACACATGCGCACACACGCAGAGCACCACCCCTGCCTCCCCCCCCCCACTCAAAAAAAAGGAACGAGAGGAGGGTAGACGGAGAGGGAGGTGCAGAGAGATAACAGATCAGATGGAGGAAGGGAGAGGTAAAGGGAGTGTGAATTCAGCAGATGGTAGCTCACCTCCGCTACAGACTTCACAGGACAGAGCACAAAGGGTGTCTTTGAGTCTGGAGTATCTCCTGAAGTATCTCTTTTGTGTATGAATGAGCCAATTAGAGAATGGTGGGACTGTCATCCACTGCCCGTGAAGGTAAGTGTTTTGAAAAGGAAACAACAAAAAAACAGATATTTTATAAATGTTGGTATATTAAAGCATCTGATGCTACAGGATTTGGGCATGCCGAGGGAAAGAGAGGTGTGTTAGCTGCGGGGATGTAAAGACACTAAAGGTGTCGTGCCTTCAATCCAAACACAGTAGGAATCAGATGATGTTTACTTCATGCCTTGAGGGCCATGCCAGCTCACTGAGACACAGACAAAGGCAGAAATGTTGAATTGTTGAGAAAGCTGTGTTTGCCAGGGTCGTTAGTGAAACATTGTAATTTCTGAAGCCTCTGAAGACTCTTTGTGGGCTGCAAATTCTTGTTGGATAAGTTGGAATGTCTGCTTACAGTGATGTTGTGAAACAAAGCTGCTGCTGACTGAATCCTGTCACTTTCGACATACTGTTATGTTAAGTTTGTTTGTGTGTGTGTGTGTGTGTGTGTGTGTGTGTGTGTGTGTGTGTGTGTGTGTGTGTGTGTGTGTGTGTGTGTGGGTGGGTGGGTGGGTTGCATGGCAAGAAAAGAAGTCAGCTCAGCATGAGGGAGGTCTTTGGTACTTGGAGGGAGCGGGGGTTGAGAAAAATGGTGCAATCGTATGAGGTCAGATTATTCTTTAATTTAGACGTTGTTGGGCATGTTAGCACAGGTGCTAGACTCACTGAAATTATTCACCCATCATTCAACCGTACAGAGTTGGCACAGAAAGTCTACAAATGTAAGCTCCTTTTAAAGGCCTGAGTCTGCAGTGTTAAACAAACTACCCTCTCCACTTAACAAAGGTCTGCACACACACACACACACACACACACACACACAATGCAGAGTCTTGCACTATGAACAAGGCGAGGAATGTGTCTGGTGTTTAACAGCAATTGTTAAGCAAGTGTGAGGAAACCAAGTGTGTTCTAAACTTGGAATGACTTTGCAGACCTGCACAATCTTTTTTCTCTGGTGTCTTAAGTCTTCTACTTTATGATGTCTTTTTTTTTTAAAGCTGAAAGTACACAAAGCTTAGAATAAAGTTACCCTTTGACCTTCTATGGAGACACATACATTGCTTTCACTACACTGAACCACATTTTCATCTATCACTGTAACATTACGGGAGCTTTTGCGTAATTAGTTAGAAGACATCGGTTACGTATCGCATTCAAACACACGCACGAGCAGTTGCAGCATAAAAGCAAAAGATGACTCGCCGCTTTAGACGTGTGACGACACTCGTGCATGGTGTGTTGTTAATTATAAAGGAACGATGGACGACTTGAGGGTGGTCTCACGTGCCCCAAGTGCCAAAAATGAGGAAGTAATTCCTTCTTGCTCGCCCTTGCACTGTAAACGTGAAATTGGGTAATCTGATTTTTAAGGAGTAAAATTGTGAAACCGTTTTTAAGGAGTGAGGCGACCTACTTCACGCCAAATCCTTTGAAAGCGTCGCCTCAATTTCTCTATTATATTATATGTAATATACTTGATTTAGTGCTGACTGGTGTAAATTTCAACTTCTCTCTGCAGAGAATGAGTCATGCTGTGGATACGGTTTTGTCTTACACTTAGGTTAGGGGAAGCCCAGTGCTACGCTAGAGCCAGAATCTAAACAGCTGGAACCTCTGGCAGAGTGACAGCGTTCACCAGGCCCACACATCCCACTCTCATGAGTTTCCTGTCCTTCCACTTCCTCATTTCCCTGCATGAATTAGATGTTAATGAGGACGCATTCCAGCTCACAGCATGGATTAAATCCTCATGCCCGTTCCTCAGAGTGGGAGCGGGCTGTTATTACAATGGAAGGAAACCAGGCTGGTACAGGAGTCAAAGTGGTTAAACAGACACAGGCAAACATACACCTACTGTAGCTGTTGTTGCTTTTGACCGTAGCCTTGGCTGGGCATTGTTAAAACCCATAGGAAGACCCACCTAAGAAAAGTATGTCTGTCTTTAAGGAGTGGGAGCACCCTGAAATGTAGGACATACATCACTGACAAACAATAGATATTTTCTCCAGCTAATTTATTTTCTGCTTGTCAGAGGTGATTACATGCAAGTTCACTGTGTTGGGGTCATACGTTGAGACAGCCAACATTCTGCCTCAACTTATTAATGTGCTTTTTAGGCCTGCGTACAAAATCCTGCACACGATAGTGGTTCGAGTGCATTTTCTAGATAAGCAGACAAAAGTTAAGATTTGACACACCTCGCTAAATGCACAACACATGAGCCTGCCTGTGCGTTTTGGGCTTGTGTGCACGAGTGTATGTGTCTGTTTGTGTGTGTGCTTAGCGCAACAGGTCTTGCTGCCATATGAGCGCACTCTGTACAAAGAGTTTTCTGGCTCAGCGGCTGTCCCGCGGCTGACCCTAGTAAGACGCACGGTTCACTAGGTCCAAGGGGCCTGGACTGTGAAAATTGGGTAGGAGGGAGGGGAGAGAGTAAGAGATGGAGGAGAATGGGAAGTAGGGGGAGGCAGACAAGAATGCCAGCAGTGACTCAGCCATTTGTTAGGTTTTGTTTTGTTTTTACATACATAAGCATACATACATAAACTGGGTGCTAGAATACAGACGGTGGTTACAAACGAGCTAATGGAAACACCTCGGGAAGCTGGAAGAAACAAAAAGCGTTGCTTGGTGGCACTGGCTTGCAGCAGGTTGCAAATCTTTTCTCGGGCTTGCAGCAGCTGGGGGGAGTGAGCTAGTTTATTTGGGTTTTGCTCTGAGAAACAGGGAGTGGACCTGTCCTACATCTCAGATCAACATATGATGTATGCGATATATCTGTTCCTACAATCTTGGGTCCAGAGGACCCAGAGAGCCCTGTGAAAGCCTGTTTAAGGCAGCTTGTGTTTTTCTAAGTTCGGCATTTCAGTTTCGCAACTGCTGGATAAAGATCGGGTCCTTGTGAATGAAGTTCTAGCTTTCTCATTTGGCTTGTTCTGAGCTCTCTAAAGTGCTCCTTAAGTTATTCCTGTTAGAGTCCGATGCTCCATATTGAACCATTGCCTGTATCTGTTTGTCCTTTTAGAGGGCCAGGGGGACAAAAATCTAGTTTTTCTGTCACTTAAATGTTGATTCAAATTTGAGTTTGTGAATCCGCAGAATTTTAGAGCTTTTTTCAAGAAGTTCCTTTGCTGTTATCTTTGGTCGTCGCTCCAAATTCACATATTTACAGGGTTAATGAGCAATTAGCAGATGTGTTTCCTGTGACTGAAGCCTCTTGGCATTGTTTAGTCTGGATAGACAGAGGGAGATAGAAAGGAGACTCAGTGATGAGATGGCTGATGGATATTGACAAACTGTGAAGCAGAGTGACACAAATTGAAAGAAGGACGAGGGGAAAGCAAAGCAGAAAGAGCCTGTTGGACATACACCAGGGATTTGTTTAGACTTGCTAGTCTGACCTTTGCCCTCTCTAATTATACACAAATGCTTGCACATATACTCACACACCCCTTTGACCATTTGCCCTCCTCTCTGCGCAGCAATGGAGGTGTTGGTGAGTGAGCTGGGCGTGCTGCTGAAGATGCTGGACCAGGAGAACCTCAGCTCCACCACCCAGGAGAAGAAGACCTCAGTGCGGAACCTCCTGCAGCAGATAGAGCCATCAGGTAACAGAGAGGAAGGAAATTCATTTTTACACTAAGTTCTGAATGATTGCACACATAAGGTCTTTTTTTTTAATGCTGTTTTTTTTTAACTTACTGCTGCCTGTGTTTTCTTCTTCCTCCCCTCTAGTGTCAGGAACAGACTACATCTACATGAACTCATCAGTGTACAGAAATGGCACGAGCTTTGTAGAGTCTCTCTTTGAGACATTTGGTGAGCTCCACCATAGTGAGATCAAATGAAAGCCACTTATGCAAATTCCCTGCCCTTAACATAACGAGAATAAATGAATGTCTCTTTCTTTTTTTAAGATTGTGAGCTTGGAGACCTAAAGGATGTTTCTGATGATGTGAAAGAAAACAAGAATGCACAAACTGAAACTTCGATAAAGGCAAGTGAAAAATATGAGAAAATATGAGAACTCATATTTTGGAAATTAACTAAATATTGGCTTAAAGTCCTGAAGGTGAAAGGATTCCGTGTGTGGGCTGTAAGCTGTTTAATATCAGTCTTTTCAGCACTCGCTGCCCCAGTTGCACTTTGCAAATTGCAAATCCAAAAGAGGCGATGAAAACCAGAGACTGTGTTCCATATTGTGGGGTTTTCCCTTTGCTCGACATGCTCATTGCTCTGTAAACTGCTGGACGAGTGAAGACTTGGGGATCCGCCCAGAGCCCATGCGTCTAATTTATGGAATTTTTTTACAGGGTTGTTCTGTGCATCTCTTTGATTATGTAGCTCTTTTGGCTTTTTTGGCTATAGAGGAAATTTGAGAGCTTTGTTTATATTTATGTGTCTCCCTTAGCAGAGCTGTGCCGCGCCACACTCAGCTGACTCGCCACCCCCGCTGCCCACAACCCCTCCTCCAGAGGAGTACTACGAAGAAGCAGTGCCCCTGGGCCCTGGCAAGATGCCTGAGTATATAATAACAAGAGGTCAGCATGTTCCCACCTCAGTTGAACTCAGTGACCTTAGTGTTCTAGAATTTTCCATGCACAGGATATAATTGATATGAACACAATCATATAGCAGGATGTACCACAGATAATTAGCGCAACAAAAGCTAAATTGCATTTTTTCCTTCCCTTTCCAGTAAGGTCCAGCCCTCCTAACTCTATAGAAGATGGCTATGAAGATACAGAAAACCAATACCCCACTACCTGCTCAAACCTACGTCGCAAAAACTCCTGTGAGAACACCCACACGTTTCCAGGATCGCCGGATAAATCCTGCGTTTTTCCAACAAATAAAGCTTACATTTTCCCTCTCTCTGTCTTTCTCATTGCTTCAACAGACAATGATTCTGATGCTCTGAGCAGTTCTTACGAGTCCTACGAGGAAGACGAGGAAGAGAGGAGCCCGAGCGTCCGGCTTACTCATCAGTGGCCCTCCGATGAGAGCTCCATGCCTCCTGCCAGGGACTGTCGCATTTGTGCCTTCCTGCTGCGTAAAAAACGCTTTGGGCAGTGGGCCAAGCAGCTCACTGTCATACGGGACAACAGGCTACAAGTGAGATGCTGCACTTTCTCATCTTCCTTAAAGGATGTTCTTTACTTATGTATCTTTCCTTTTTTTTCCCCCCTCACACGTACCACATGTTGTTCTTTGTGCAGTGTTATAAGAGTTCCAAAGACATGTCCCCCTACGTGGACCTGCTGCTGCCCCAATGCACTGTAGTCTACGTCCCCAAAGACACCAAGAGGAAGCATCACGAGCTTCGCTTTACCTTACCCAATGGGGACGCGCTGGTGCTGGCGGTACAGAGCAAAGAGCAGGCCCACACGTGGCTTACGGTAATTTTAGCATGCTGCAATTTTATGCAGGAGTCATGTATTTTCCTCTGGTATAGCTGCCAATCATCA